GAACAGTTGCAGCGAAGCACTGAATTTGAGAACTGCTTGAGATAAGCTGATCTCTCCAGTCCTTCCAAAAGCTGTTTGGCCTGCCCTGCATGCTAGACCAGGTCTCTGGCTAAGGGGTCAGATCCACATGGTTGCCTCTCTGAATATCAAAACCAAAACAATGTATCAGGCTTCTTTCTTGCTTAAATTTGGTTAACATTTTTGAAGCATGTTAATGCAAATTCACACTATACCTTATGTTTCTCTATACATGAGCTTTCTCTTTGCTAGAGGAAAAAAGGAGCTGTCCTAAGATAAGTAAAATTTCCTGAGTTGTTTCTATCAGATCAGCTACTATTGCCCTTCAGGTATCCAGGGACAAGCCATAACAACATCTGAAATATGGTTAATGGCTTATGCTAAAAGGATACTAGAAGAAAATAAATCCCTTGTGGTGTTTTAACTACCAAACTAATCATAAAATCCCTGAGGGGGGGAAAAACATTAAAAGGCAACATAATGCTATCACCTCATAGCAGTTTTGCAAGAGATATTTTTAACTGTTTGCTTGAAAAGTACCTCAATGGCAAACAATTATTATTGCTATTAAATATGAAATTCATTAGTGGGATAACCCTTGGTAGAGACACGAAGTCAACTCTTACATGGAAGTCACTGATTAGCTGCTGCTATAGAATTCTGCCTCGGATCATTCTGTGCCTCAGTTTCTGGAATGTTAAAACAGGAACAATACCCCATGCTCCTTGCTGCTTTCCATGCAAAGACAGAATGAGCGATAGGATATGTGAAATTATATGAAAATGCTTCAAGCTGGAAGCAAGGTGGTTGAAGAAGATAAACCATTATTGGCTTCTGTAAGACACACTAGTGTGCAGGAGAAAGGTCAGGTACTTATGCTGCTGCCACTCCACACAAAGAGCGTGAATTCTGCCAAGTCAGCAACAGTGACTCCATAACGACAGACAGCCTACGTCCCAGAATGTGCGGATGGCAACAACGCCCCTCCTACATGCACAGCCTGCTGCTTCCTGGCTTTTCTTCTTTTCCCTCTAAGCTTCTTGGCACAGAACTCATCCTTTTCAACACTTAACCCTTTTCCTTTCTAGCATACTTCTGTATCAAGTCCTAATGCTACTCTCTTACTCCCTGATACCACAATGGATGGAAACTGCTAAAATGCAAAGGTCGTCATCCTGTTCCTGTGCTTGAACCCATCAGAGTGCCTCCTACCCACCTGACCGACAGTGTAAGGGGACACATAACTCAGGTGACACACAAGTCTCCACATAATTTGACTGTTCCTACCTCTTAGCCCTCATGCCCTCACACACCTTAAATCACACCCCAGCATCCAGCCAAGCACAGCCATCTGTTATGCCACAACATCTAGTGCCATTCAGGTTTGAGGCTTTAGTTCATCTGGAAATGTCCCTCCTAAGTTCTTCCTTCTCTTATACTCTGCTCCTTGCCACTCCACCTGTGTGGCCACTGTATCCAGCACATACATCTAGGGCTGCCTTTATCACAACATTAGGATGGCTATGTGTGATTTCTCTTAGACACAGCTCCATGGAGGCCAGAATCATACCCAGATATTAATCCTAGGACACCAATACCTGACCTTGCAGTAGACTCTCAATACATATTTGCTGACTCAAAGTTCCAACTGTAAGCACTAGTTCATTTGATTTCTTTCACTAAACTATTTACTACATAATAGATTGTCATATTCTAGTGCAAAAGACAAGGAAATAAAACAAAATTCGACACATCTGAATGCAGTTACACGTTGTGCTACTTACTACAAAGGAAACAAATAAGGAGATGGCATAGTGAATCCACTGGGATGAACATGAAGAATCTACTTTAGTTAAGAGTCCAGAAAGACCTTGCCAAGGAGATACCATCTTAGGTGAAACTTAGATGATGCTGAACCAGTCGTGCAAAGGGACAACACAGGCAAAATCCCATGGGTGGAAAAGAATTGTTAGTTGAAATCATTTGGAGATGGCTAGTCTTAAAAAAATGAGTAAATAAAATTAAAAAAAAAAATCCTAAAAAAAGGGGGAAGGCTGGAGGGGGGCAGGTGGAGTAGTAGTTAGGGGTGCTGGACATGGCCGACTGTCGTTCAAGTCCTGGACCTGGCAGCTTGCTTTCTCACTTTCTCTCTTGCGTGCGCTGTCCCTCTCTGGTCAAACTAAAATAAATAAATAAATAAAGTTAAAAAAAAAAATTCTTTTGGAAAAATAGAGGGAAGAAGAAGATGACCAGTCTTTTGGCTGTAGAGTAACAGGAAAAAAAAATCATTTATCTAAAAAATGAATTTGGTGAAATAAGGTAGGATGTGATCATAGAGGGTCCTGGTGGGCACAGTAAGGAGTCTGAACTTTATCCCAAGTGCAACAGGAAGCCATTCAAAGCCTATGAGCAACAGTTAAAATAATCTAACTTATGTTTCAGCAGAGCACCACAGAACAACTCCATTAAGTAGGTGAAAATGACTCTCCTGCCAAGGTCAGTACCCTCATGTAAAGATTATACCTCTGCCTGCCAAGCCAGTGTAGAAGCCGAGAGTGCAGATGTTCGGCCAGCTCCAAGAACAGCGATGGTTTCCCCATCATCATCCACCACTTTGAAGTCCAGGTCTTCGTTGTATTTTCTACGCTTCACTTGCCGTCCTGAACGTCGCTTCTGCAGGGTAAACACACCCATCAGAGAAGTTCAGTGAGTCGAAGGTGAAAGCTTGCACAAGAATATCATGTCATACCAAGGAGAGCTTTCTCATCTTACAAGAGAACTCTTCCTTAAATATAATCCCCTCCTAACCTTTATGTGAGAGAGAGAGAAAAGAAGAGCCAGAGACAGATATTTTTGACAGTCTGAATGTACCATGATCCTTCTGTTCCAGGCTGCCAATTAGCTAGGATAACTGTTACACACAGCCATGCCTGGCATGTTCAGGTTGGCCCAGGAAATAAACATAGGCTGTTCATGAGGCTTCCAGCCTCCACTGCAATTGGGCCAAAATACTGGGCCATTGCAACTGGGTCAAAAAACCTCTTTTAAGGATTAAATTCATTCAAAATAAGGTCTACCAGGTGAGGAATAGAAAAGCCCAATTTCCAAACTGCTATGATCTACGAAGAAGAAGGTAGTCATAGAGTTCTGCGAATTTATTCGTCGATGGCAGTGACAATTTCTGAAACTGGCTTCTCCTCCAATGTAACAGGACTAAGATCCATGATGTGGTGAGATAGTTTTTTAGGTTTTAGCTCAAATTCACTGCACTTACCACACAAAATGTATTGTGAAAAACTGACTTAAATATCAAATTTATTAGGACTTACTTTAAGAATTTCAAAACACTTCTTGAAATATAGGGAGACATCTTAAACTAGACAAAACAAAGTTCTGAGTCACCATTTAAGAACTCATCTCTTGGGATGGGACCAGTAGTTGGCATAATGGCTATGTCGCTGGACTCCCATGTAGTTGACCACGGTTCAAGTCCCAGACCCGGTAGTTTAAACTCACTCTGGGCGCGTGTGTATGCGTGCCCAAAATACTGAGAGGAGAATGTAAGAGAAGGGACTGTAGTGTGGTCATCCCCCCAGTGGGGGGGGGGGGGTGATT